GCCCCCTTATTATAAGACCTTCATCCCAAAGTTTAAACTTGCTCATTATTTAGTACTTTTGGTAGATTTGGCCTCTAAAAATGAGCAAGTTTAAACTTTGGGATGAAGGTCTTATAATAAGGGGGCCCTCAGTAAGAGCTCAGTTCATACCATGATACCAGTTTGGACTCCCTTAAACTGAAATAGGAAATGGACTTGGAGGAATCCATATCAGACTCGGTCTGGCGAAAGATCATTAAGAACATTTACTCATCCTCAGTCTGTCAGAGACATGCTGTAATTCAATTCAAGGTGGTGCACCGGCTGCACTGGTCCAAAGACAAGTTGTCCAAGATTAACGCTCTCAGGACATGATTACTTGCAGTGTACCCTCAGTGCGGACCCAACTTGGCAAAAGGGCCTTCACTTACTCTGCTCCTGTAACATGTAAAACCTTGCAAAAAGATCTGAAGCTCTTGACTTTGATTTTTCTAAGGGCTTTTAAACGTCTGCTAATTTCATGGCAAAAACCAACACAGTCATGTTCCTGTTTTTAGTGTTTTACCTCACTTTATACTGTAGCTGTTTTTGTCTCTTTTTGTTCTTTTTGTATTTGTTTCGTTTTTATTTCATTTCCTCTATTTACTTTTCATTTTATATGGTTTTTATATGACTGTATATTATAGTTTGTTCCTCTTCTGTTCTTTGTTTAAAACAGGTCTCTCTTATAAATGAGTCCATGTGGCTCAATGAGACTAACCTGGATAAATAAAGGTTGAATGAATGATGAAAACTGACCTGGACCCTGCATGTAATCGTTGTAAACCAACTTCAATGACACTCCTACATACATTCTGGCCCAATCCCAAACTACAGACATTTTGGCAATCTGTTTTTGACACGTTCTCTGTGATATGTGGAAAAAGTGTGCACCCATCACGGTTCATCTCACTGTTTGGGGTGGTCCCTGTGGATACGTCCTTCAGCAAGTACGAGAAGGATGTATCATGATCTGACTGTAGCGTGTTCGAACCCACATGCAGGAAGGGAATGAGGCTCCAGTAAATAAGTAAAAACAGTTTATTAATTAAATAAACAAACAAAACAATATGCTGACGGGGCAGCTAACTTACTTAAAGGAGGACACGAAGAGAGACAGGTCATGAAGCCTTAGGACAAGGACAAGCCACAGACACCGACAAGACACCAAGGGGCTGAATATATACAGACACTAACAAGGTGAAATGAGTGACACCTGTGGTGATTAGGATCAGACACAGGTGTGACAGTGCTGGAACACAGGAGGAGAGATGCTGAGGGGTGATAGGCAAACATGAGGAAAAACACAACATGTATGACAAGACCCCAGAAACCCTACAGGATGTGATTGCTTTTGGCTCTCTGCTGACCAGGAGACTTGTTTTGTCCAGACGGAAGGACCCACACCCCCCGGCATATGAACGCTGGATAAGAGAAGTCATGGATCATATTCATCTGGAAAAATTTAAATATACTCTGAAAGGTTCTGTTGAAAGATTTTGGAACACTTGGCAGCCATTTGTGTCGTATGTTGAAAACATGTCATTGCCTGTGGGTGGATGGGGATTCTGTTCTATGTTCTTTTTTCTTTCTTTCCTAGTTTTTTGTGTTCAGACACCCCCCCCCCCCCCCCCCCACACACACACAATAATTCAAGGATTCAAGGTTCTTTATTTGTCATTTGCACCTCATGTGGTACATGTGGTGGAACGAAATTATGTACACAGGGTCCCAGTTACATCCAACAATGAAATGTAAAAGAAAAACTGTAATAAGATCTAAGATATGAACTAAGAAAAATGCTAAACTAAAAATACACTGAGCACTAATAGTATAAAAACAACACGCCGAACAGCAGCATGAACATGAGTCTGTGTGAGCAGATGAGTATGAATGAACACAGCAACATGAAACAGATCAGCAGCAACATGAAACAGATCAGCAGCAACATGATGTGATTTTTTTTCCACAGTGATTATTCTGGTTAGAGATTCATGAGTCTAACAGCTTCAGGGTAGAAGCTGCTCCTCAGTCTAGTGGTTCTACACTTAATGCTCCTCAACCTCCTTCCGGGGTGGGGGTGGGGGGGTGGGGGGGGGAAAATCAATCAATAAATAAATAAATAAATAAATAAAAAGACTGATTGAAAAAAAAGAGCAATATTCTACAAGAACAGCTGTTCTTCTGTTATGCTTTGAATCAACCAGCCATTCATCTTCATTCAACCTTTGTCAAAGACAAGAATATTATTTACAGGGATTTACTCGTCTAAATAAAGGTTGAATGAAAAAAATTCTATTTCCCCTTTCTATTACTTTTTAACATGTGTTTTAATGGAACATATCCTTGGACACCATCACAAGTGGGCTGAGTTCTGGACTTTGGTTGGGTCATTGAAACACCTTGACTTTAAACAGTCACCTTTCTGTAACTTTGGCAGTGTTTGGGATCAGTGTCCACTTCTATAACCAGCTGGCCTCCGATTGGACTCTTGAAACCTTTGGTGTAAAGAGGCGCTCATGATCGACTCAATGACCGTACGGAGCTGGTCCTGTGTCTGTAAAACAGCCCAAATCATCACCGATCCACCACCACTGTGTCTAAGAGCAGATGTTAAGCATTTGTAGTCGTTTGACAACCACGTTACTCTTCAGATGAATTTATTCCAGATGTTGTGTGATTTGTTTAAATAAAACTTTCTAGGCTTAGCACTGCCGCTGTACTTATGTTGGTTTGTTTTGTAAAAAGAAGAGGCTCTCTCCTGGCAAACCTTCCATACAACATACTAGAATTTATCGTGCTCACTGGGGCCTGCAGGTTCCAGGATATACATCCTAGATTTGTTCAACTTCTTTGACCATTGCACAGTCTAATGTGAAAATAAATTTCTTAACTAAAGGTGGACTTTGACCTTTTTTTATATATCATTCCAGGTGTTTATTCAGTTTAGTCAAATAAAACAGTTGTTGCTTATCTTAGGTTGAACTCTTATGTGAAATCTTAGAATTAAGAAACAGTGTGCTCATTTTTAATCATCCCTAAAGAATACAATACACACAACATTTGAAGTAGTTGTATCTTTTTCTTGCAGTTCTTCGCCTGGTGATAGGATACCTACCACACAAAGGTAGAAAATGAGCAAATCTCCCACCCCAAAGGGGACCCCTGTGCAGCGCAGCCCCAGTGATGGGGTCCCTGAGGGCCTCCAGTCTCCTCAACACTCCACCCCAGTCTCTGGAGAGAGAAAGAAACACCTCTCCAGCCTCCTTCAGAGTCCAGTGAGAACTGTTTTTACTTGTCTTTCACTTTAACTTTGCTAACTGTGTCTTTGTATTCAAATAAACTTTCTTGATTAAATTTTTGAGCAACAGATCGAAGGCTTGAACTCGTCTGCATATATCAGGGCAGCGGTGAAGCTCCATGTTTCTGATAAAGATTTATACTTGGAGGTTAACCAGAAAGTGAAAGGAGCTTTGGACAGAGAGTGCATCAGTAAATTTTTGCTACAAAAATTGATAATTGGCTAATTTGTTCCTAGCTCCCCTTGTTTGTTTGCAGTCTTTGTAGATGTAACATCACTTAGAAAAGTTTTATTGGAAAATGAGACAGTCCAGTTTTTAACTGTTCAAATTTTGACTTAAAAACTGATGTTTGTAGTGAAATGTTGCTTTGATCGTATAAGATTTCTGATTTTTATTTGTACGCAGTCGTTCCGAGAGGAGCTGGACGGTCTGATCCAGGAACAGATGAAGAAGGGGGGCAGCTCCTCCAATCTATGGGCTCTGAGGCAGCTGGCTGATTTCATGGCCTTCCATGGCTCCCCAGCTGCCCTGCCAGTCTCACCTTCCAGTATGTGTCAACAGAGCAGCCAACGATGAACAATTGCGCTATTAAATGAGTTGGTTTGATCCTCTCCACTGTGAACTCTTTCTAGAGCTGATTATTTTACTTCCTCACAGACATGATGATGGTGACGCCCATTAACGACATGCATGGATGGGACCCCAGCAGCTTGGCGAAGGGGGAGAGGTTGATGCGTTGCAAGCTAGCCAGCACCCATCGGCTGTTTGACCTTTATGGCTGGGCCCAGATCAGCCAAACCTGTCTCACAGTTAGTCCTACATCTCATTACTGCCTGTACAGGACTGTAGTGGCTGTCGCATATTCTTACTGGTGTTATTCTTCCTCTGTCAGCTGCGTGTGAGTAAAGAACAGGAACATTTCTTGGTGCTTCCAGACGGTTTGGCCTACAGTGAAGTGACTGGATCCAGTTTGGTGAGTAAGAATTTGGGTTCAATGTACATGAACAGCTCTAATACTGATGGTAAAATGCAAGTTTTAGTATAGTTTTGGAATGAAAAGCAGCAAATCCTGCTGTATGAGAGCCTGACAGCTGCTCTGTTTCACAGGTGAAGGTGAACCTCCTAGGTGAATCTGTGGAGAAAGGCAGCACCAACCTACTAGTTGATACTGACAAGTTCAGCCTGCACTCAGCCATTTACTCTGCACGGCCAGATGTCCGCTGCCTGTTCCACCTCCACACACCAGCCACAGCAGCGGTGAGTCGGAGTGGACCAGCTATATGAGGGACACTTTACAGGGCATTTACCTTCTGGCTCAAAAGGTGGAGTTTCCAAGTTAGATCAATCAACTGAAACACCTCCTAAAGTTGTAAATATAACTTGGACAACTGAAGTTTCTTAATAATCTCGACCTCAAACACCATTATGGCTGCCTCATGTGAAAAGTGGTGACAGATGCAGTAATAAAGTTAAGGCCAATAATTATTTAAAGGAATATATGCTGCCCAACTCCTTTCAATTGTTAAAAGGTCTAGATTCTAAAAAATCTGCAGGCCCTGATGACCTTCCATCTTATTTCTTAAGGCTGGCTGCTCATATCATTGCAGTACCAGTGTCCCACATCTTTAATCTTTCCATAAACCAAAACTCCATTCCAGATGCTTGGAAAACAGACTTTGTTCTTCCTCTGATGAAGGGAGGTGACCCCACCTCACTGAACAACTATCGACCAATCTCTAAACTCTGTATTTTATCTAAGATTCTAGAAAAGCTGATAAACTCTCAAATCAAAAATTACCTGGACTCATTTAACATCTTACCTCCACATCAATCTGGTTTCAGGAAACAACACAGCACAACGACTGCTTCACTGAAGGTTCTTAATGATATTGTTGAAGCACTGGATGCGAAGGATTATTGTGCTGCACTTTTCTTAGACCTGTCTAAAGCTTTTGACACGGTGGATCATAACATCTTGTGTCATAAACTCTCAGAAATTGGTTTCTCTTGGTTCTCTAACTATCTTTCAGATTGGAGGCAATGTGTTCAACATAATGGTATTTCTTCCAGTTATTTAACTGTTAACGATGGTGTACCAAGAAACGTATTCAGAGCATCCGTGACGTATACTTACATTTCTATGCTGATGACACAGTTGTTTGTTGTCGAGCTAAAACAGTTGATAAGGTTTTCCAGCTTTTGCAATCTGCATTTGACATCATCCAGTCAGACTTGCTCCATCTCAAACTTGTCCTAAATGCCAACAAAACCAAAGGGATGTTGTTTTCAAGCAGGAAGTCGGTCCCAGCAGTTCTTATTTCTATTTTATCTTTGAGTGGTGTTCCTATTGAGTTTGTTGATTCCTATAAATATTTGGGTATCTTGGTCGACTCGCATCTCTCTTTTAAGCTCCATGTGGAAAACTTGGTAAAGAAACTGAAAGTTAAACTGGGTTTCTTTTTCAGAAACAGATCCTGTCTAACCCTGAATGCTAGGAAACGCCTTGTATCTGTGACTTTCCTTCCCTCCATTGATTCCGGTGACATTATTTACATGAATGCTCCTACAAGAACCCTGCAGATGTTGGATGCTGTCTATCATGGTGCCCTAAGATTCATAACAGTCTGTGATTATCGTACCCACCATTGCACCCTGTATTCACTGGTTAACTGGACATCATTAACTTCACGCAGACTCTCTCACTGGTACATTTTCATCTTTAAATCACTTCTTGGTCTGCTGCCTTCATACATCTCCTCCTACATGTCTCTGCATGAGTGCAGCTACAGCGTACGCTCTCATGACATTATTACCTGCAGTGTTCCCTCAATGAGGACTGAACAAGGAAACTATGTTTCCTGGAATATCTTACAAAAAGATCTGAAGCTCTCGACCTTGACCTTGACCTCTCTAAGTGGCTTTAAACATCTTTTAACTTTGTTTAAAACAGGTCTCTCTTGTAAATGAGTCCTCAAGGCTCAATAAGACTAACCTGTATAAATAAAGGTTGAATTTAATTGAAAAAAGCAGTTTTAACTAAGATCATCTTATGCTGACAAAACTATAGGCCTTTCAGTCGAACCTTAAAAATAACTTTATGTACAATATCATGTGATAACACTCAGATTATGTGTTATGAATGATTTAACTAGGGCAGCACGGTGGCGCAGTTCGTAGAGCTGCTGCCTCTCAACGAGAAGGTTGCCAGATCGAATCTCAGCCGGGGGCCTTTCTGGTTGGAGTTTGCATGTTCTCTCCATGCTGCGTGGGTTTTCTCCAGGTTCTTTGATTTCTTCCCACAGACCATAAACATGCATGTTAGGCTGATTGGTAACTCTAAACCGTCTCAAGGAGTGAGAGAGAGAGTGGATGGTTGTTTGTCTCGTTTGTCAGAATGCTGACTTCTTTCTCAGCGTTCTAACTTTAATCTCAAAATCAGCAGCGATTCTAGAATCTGACCTTTAGTGGTGCTTAGGCCCAGTGTTGACAATGGCTCATCGCTTGAACAGCACAGTGACCGGCTGTCTGGGGGTCCTTCCCCACAAGATTTTGAATAAAGTAGATGCCATTTCCTGCATTCTGGTGTATTTTACTGGGTTTTTTAACATTATGTTTACCAACATAAGTAAACAGTTGATTCAATAACTATTTTAGAGCAGCACATCACAACAAAAATTAGCGCAAAGCTAGCGGCACGCAATACAGACGTGCTAGCTAAGATGCTATAGACGTAGTGCTCCGCTTTACATTACACAACCTAATAAACGCTTTGTATAAAATCAGTTTAGTTTTAATTGATCATAACAAACAAAGACTAAACTTATACAACCAGAAGTTGCAACATATATCTACATTTAAAACACAAAACAAAGCACAACCAGCTTTAATCATTAACCTTTAATTTAATCATTAAGCATAAAATGTAATTATGACAGAAAATGGAGAATTGCTCTGCAGTTACCTTCGTACAGATGAACATGTGGTACTTCCTGTTTATCACTCTTGTATTGAGCTGCTCATGAGGTCGGCCGCAGGGCTTTATCATCTTTTACATTTTTCCAGACTCAGTTTAGGTTTTGTAAATGTAGGAAACTGTATTCCACCCTCTGAACACTCAGGGTAACGCTGTCTGAATTACATGTTCCCACTGACAACGTTTAACCATTTTTCCGATGATTTTTCACAAAATTCCTCTGACCGCAAAGCATTCAAAATGCAAAACCAAGACAAAGTTGTCAGAGGAAAAGGGGGTGGAGCTCCTGCAGGTAAGGGGCATTTCACTTCTGGACAAATCGAGGTCGCCGATTGGTCAGTTGCTGACGAACCGACTGGATTGATTGACAGGTCACGTTGAGGTCACTCATGCAAAATAAATCCAGTTTTACTGGCCCATTTGGGTTTCATCATTTAGTCCATATTTAGTCCAAATGTATTTAATATTTAGTTGAATCTAAGGTTTGAGAACCAAGCTTCCTTACAAAATCGTAATGATGATATCTTTATTTTTCAAGGGTGTTGAGTTAAAATTAAAAAAGAGGTTCAAATCACCACTGCTCAAAATTCTAACAAAGAAGTAAAATAATTTAAAAAAATTAAACAACTCCATCTCAGCCCCAGATTTCTTCTGTATAAATCACTGGTTGTGGTGAATGTGTTTTTTGTTTGCTTCATATAAAATGTTATTTTGTTTGTGCACTGTTAGAGTTTCGTTGACACAAATGGTTCAGTCTGCAGAAGACAAGCCTCCATCATGTTTCCAAGTTGACAGTTAACTGTTTCCAGGTTTCAGCCATGAAGTGTGGTCTGCTGCCTCTGTCCCACGAGGCTCTGCTGGTCGGTGACGTGGCCTATTTTGACTATAATGGAGTCATGGAGGAGGAGGAGGACAGAGTGGAGCTGCAGAAGAGCTTAGGCCCCACCTGTAAGGTGAGTGGACCACAGGAGACCAGACTGAGCAACACTCATTTGGCTGCTGTTCCTCCACTGCTGCCCTCATGGCATCTCGATTTAAAAACGAATACAAGGAAGATGTTATAGGGTGATGTGGCCTTACACTGGATTAATTACTGAATCTCGTATTGCTGCTCACAGCTGAGATGCATTCATTACAAAGATGATGTACCTTTTTTTTTACTTTGCCTTTCAGGTTTTGGTGCTGAGGAATCATGGCATTGTGGCTCTAGGGGAATCTGTGGAGGAAGCATTTTACACCATCTATCATATCCAGGCAGCCTGCCAGATCCAGGTAACACACATACATACACGCCTGCACTCACACGCACGTTTCTATTTCTGTCCTTATTAGGACACTGTATTGACATGCACCCACTGCATCCAGCCAAACCCTTACCTTACTTTAACTTGAACACCAGTCTCACCTGTACGGTACCTGACAGGTGACGGTTTGCTTCTTTGTGCATTTGCTTTGGTTGCATAGTTTGCTCCTCTGGTGTTATTCAGCCTTTCATTCAGCGCTGCAGTATTACCCCCTACCTGTAGGTATGACTAACAGTGAGGTTATAACAGCCTCGCTCACATAAAAAGATGATGCTTGTATGAATATATAAAGGATGTGAGTGGTTTTATTATTTAACATGGGCTATTCCCTAGATAAAGAAAAGATCCACACAATGTTTGCTTTCATTTGAATTAATTATATTTGTGTGGGTGTTTTTGCTAGGTGTCGGCGTTGTGTTGTGCTGGAGGAGAACACAACCTGATCCTGCTGGATCGGACCGTCCATAAACCCTCTGCAGCTGGCACTGTCGGCTGGGCTGGCTCCACCTTCGGACCAATGCATAAAAGCCGCACAGGGGAACACGAGTTTGAGGCGCTTATGAGAACGCTGGATAATCTGGTGAGCAGCAGAACTGAGCAGAAAAAAATAAACAAAATAGAAGCGTTTGCGCAGTGGTGGTAGAGGATACTTTAAAGAAGGTGCATTTCTTCTGATTAGACAAATGGAATATAGTTTAATCTTTTCTGCTCTGGAGCCTGGTAAAGTTAGAATAGAATAGAATAGAATAGAATAGAATAGAATAGAATAGAATA